TGAGAAGATACAGTAAATACAGGTTTTAAGAAAGAAAAAAAGGAGAGGAGGTGTTAAAAAACGGCTGGCAATAAGGGCAGAGAAAAACTGAGATAAGAGGGGTTTATGGAATATGGCAGAATGCTGTATTTAATAGGAGCCCACTAGAGACTTGAATGTCTCCCACACAAACATCTTTACGAAAAGCACATATGTTGTATAGTCCTTAATAAAAACTGAAAAGACATTTCAAAGTATTGGCTTTGAAATTCAAAATATTTCACAAGATATTTCTATTAAATATTTTTTATTGCATTTTATTTAATTATAAACATCCAGATGTAATAATCAAAATTCCACAATGTTATCTTAACCACTCTTAAAGGGTTAGTTCACCCCAAAATGAAATTTATGGCATCATTTACTCACCCTCAAGTTATTCAAAACATGTATGAATTTCTTTATGGTAGCCAATGACTTCCATAGTAAGAAAAAAATATTAAAGTCAATGGGTACAGGTAACCATTCGGTTGACCACATTCTTCAAAATATCATTGAAACAACTTGAGGGTGAGTAAACAATGATTTAATTTTCATTTTTGGGGGAACTATTCCTTTAAGTGCTGTAAACTTTGCACATTTATGCAGATAATTGCTCTGCACTCACTGCCTCCCCCTGTTGGTACTGCACTCACCAGTGTGTGGCGTTTCATGTGTTCCCTCCGGGTGAACTTCTTCCCGCAGATCTCACAGGGATACGGCCTCTCGCCCGTATGTGAACGCATGTGCCTCTTCAGGATGCACTGGTGCATGGCGGAAAAACTGCAGTATGGGCACTTAAACTTCTTCCTGATCACTGTGAAGTCATTAACTGTGGATAGAAATGAAGAGATGTGAAGAGAGCTGGTTAGAGTCTGAACACATGCAGGTTAAGCCACTGGAAGTATGAGAGTTAATATGTGAGAAGTGTTTAAGCCCTGCACATAGCATTAATGACAAACCTACTTACCAAAGCACTGGGTTAATCTCTCTCTCTCTCTCTCGAATAAAATTACTTTAACAGCCGCTATTGCTGCATTAACATAACGGGCTGATTCATGTTAACCCTAATTATTTTAATGGGTGGAGTCAGGGCTATTTTTATTTTGGGAGCATTCTGTAAAGCCATAAAGGATGACCCAAAGGAGGACATTACTCTACATTAGAATTAGCCAACAGGAAGAACATGTCATATAGAGGTCATATATTACCTCAATATGAAAAGTAAGAAATAAGAACTAAAATTTTGCTTAAAGAAAATGCCCATTTTAAGTACCATTATGTTTTTTTTTCTCTAATATATTGTGACAATACTTTCACAACAGCTAAACATTCATCCGCCCCAAATTTCACATTACTGATGCACAAACAAATTTGGTAACAGGGTTGCCAATCTGCGGTTTTACCGCGGAATAGGGCAATGTTTACACTGTTGCTGCAGGTTGTTTTTTAAATCTGCAGTTTGAAGTGATCTCCGCAGAATGCAATTTTGATGGAGGGGACCCCAACAAAGGGGAAAATGGAAGAAAACACATGATTGTGCTAGTTTTGATTAGCAATTGGGCAAGTTTTGTTTCTTAGACCTGGCAATCCTGTTTGGTAATTTGGTAAAACAGTGCATTAAGCATTTTAAACTAACAATGAACAACAATCTAGTCCAATATATAATATAAATAGTATTAAGGTACTCTTCACCATATAAGAGTACAAAAAAATTACAGTGAGAATCACTATTTGAGAATAATAGGAATTACCAAAAATGTAAAAAAAATAAAAATAAGCTAACATTATTAATGAGCATATTATTCAATCTAAATATTTGTATTTTTACCCTTTTAAGCAAGGAAAAAAGTCACCTGTAAATTGTCACTATTCATCATGGTATTATTATTGCCACATTCACATCAGTTACTGTATATCCTTTCCAATTCCTCCTATCCTTTGTGTCATCTAGTGGCAGACACTGAAGATAGCCAAAGCACTGACGAACTGCGAGAGGGATACTCTCCCTAACTCACCTGCCCTTAGCTACCAAAAGCAGCCCCAAAAGACAGTTTCCTTAGCAACCACAGCACCGAAACAGATTTTACAGCTCAAATTCAACAAAGAAAGCTGAAAAACCCACAACGCAGCATAGCATAGCTTCCTATTGTTTGCTGAACAATTGCTGCACAAATTATCAACCCAAACTCACAAAACCAAACATCAATTCCACTACTTCTTGTTCTAATTTTTCTGTCTTCTGTTAGTAAAAGATTCAGACAGAGGCATGTGCTTTGTGTTATTCATACTATGATGACTGTAATCTCATTAGGCATTGGTCTATACTGGCTCAGCTAATAAGCGGATAAGCACCATTTAGGTAAGGACAGACATGAAGCCCAGGTTTACCTTATAATCCATACACATGAAAGACGTGATGAGCTGAAATGGCAAAACCAACATGCTGCACATTTACTACTTCAGAATCAGAAAAACTGCCCAGGAACTGACCAAAACCAACATGCTGCACATTTACTAATTTAGAATCTGAACAACTGCCCTGGAACTGACATTTCTCTACATTTTTTAAACAGCTGATGGTCAGATCTGACTTATGACAAGCTTAAATTTAAGGTAGCAAATAAACCCCATATGACCCTCACAACAAAATTGTAGTAAAACAAATCTATTTGTAGCTGATCACAACAGGTTCTCAATTTATTTTTATTATTTGTAAATAAAATGACCACAGTTTACATGATGCTTTACGTCAAAATGTATTGTCTAAAAAATGACAACCAACCAGTTAGTATTGTTCCAAAATACATCATTTACAGAAATATTTTTGGTTTTAGTCTAAAGGATATATTTTTTCATTTCGGTAATAAAAAAAATAGTGCAATTCAAAACAGCTGTGACTGAGATTTCTGATGCGTTTTTTACACCCACCATTCAAATATCTTCAGACAATATCAGAGTGCACCAGTCCTGTCATTTTCTGAGAAAGTGCTAAGACCTTGAAAACGTCAGTGCAAATCTCTCTCTCTTTTTGCATCGGTGATAAACAATGATTCCTTTAACAAATCACCCAGATTCAATGCAGCAACACACTTAACAGTTTGAAAGAGAACGTCATGCTTTCATTCTGTAACTTGGAAAGTTGTTACAAGCAGACCAAGCAGATATTTTGTTTGATGAAACACAACAAAGTTTTACATATGACACAAAGATCGGATAGTCTATGCAAAAAGTGTATGGTACCTTCAAGATCTTTACAAAAACAACAGACAAACATCTTATTTTCTGAGGAAAAAAAGAAAAGAAAGAAAAACAGCGAAAAGAAGAGGCCTTTTGCATACTTGGGTATAAGATTTATGGGTAAGTTTAGGTGGTTCTAGTGACAATACACTTTCTCACTGCTGTGCCAGTAAGAATGTCGACACATTCACAGTTTCTGGCACAACTGATTTACTGCAAAGAGGAAAAATTTGTGACACTCAAAAGTTTCGAAAATGCTAACGGGTTCTGTTGCAGTGCGCACTGCATTTGTTGACCAATCACATAGATTCTTAGAGAGGCGAGTAGAATTTCAGAATGGATATGGATATTCGCTGTATTTTCGCTTGATTTCAACCTCTAAGCTCTTCCACACTCTCAAAATAAATTTAACATGTCCCTTATCCACCGAACACCCCATCAGAGCTGCCTCTAGTGTGTAAGTGCCCACTGATACACAAATGAACTTGCCATAACTGTATAACATATGTTGTGTGAAAATTAATGTAAAAACATCTCCTCCAGGAATTACTACAAGTGTAGACTGCCTTGAAAATTTCCCAGAACTCTACCAGATAACTTTGTGGTCTGACCACTCAATGGCTACGTTTACATGCACAATTTTTGGTTCAATCGGACTGAATTCATTCCGATTGATGAATCTGAATGTAGTGTTTACATAAACGCTAAATAAAGTGATCGGGTTGATGTGCGCATTTATATGTCACAAGCTTCAAATCGGAATAAATTTTTTTGACATGCGCACACTGCACAAATATAGAGTTTCTCACTGTTTGCACATAATAACCGCTCTCCTACACGGCTTCTTTATTTGTTTTTAACAGCAGAATTATATTGATTAATTTATGGATAAATATACATATAAACCGCTGTGCCGTGCTGCTCATATTTATCACGCCGTAAAAATGCCCCTCCCCGCGCCCAAAACGGGTTGCCTGTAGATGAGAATCCAAAACAAGGACTGGTGGGAGGTTGTCCTGCTCCACTTCACAGTTGCCGAGTGAAAGGAGAGTTTTATAATGACAGGACATGCATTTATACAACCCTTTATTCATAAGGAAGAGCTGCTCGTTCCGCACGTCATTACGCTATTTCTGCATCATTGCACATGCACAGTTCTTTCAGTTTCGGGGGTTCAATCCGATCGAGTGTTTATATGCGCTCTCAATCGTATTAGAAAAGGAATAAACCACCCCCTTCAATCCGATCGAAATTTCATTCCGATCGAGCTCAGTCAGCATGCGCACACTGCACAAATATAGAGTTTCTCACTGTTTGCACATAATAACCGCTCTCCTACACGGCTTCTTTATTTGTTTTTAACAGCAGAATTATATTGATTAATTTATGGATAAATATACATATAAACCGCTGTGCCGTGCTGCTCATATTTATCACGCCGTAAAAATGCCCCTCCCCGCGCCCAAAACGGGTTGCCTGTAGATGAGAATCCAAAACAAGGACTGGTGGGAGGTTGTCCTGCTCCACTTCACAGTTGCCGAGTGAAAGCAGTTTTTTATAATAACAGGACACGCATTTATACAACATTTTATTCAAAAGGTACAACCACGCACAACCAGCGGGTCATTAATCTATTTCTGCATCAGTGCACATGCTCAGACCTTTCAGTTTCCGGGTTCAATCTGATCGAGTGTTTACATGCACTCTAGAATACAAGAGAGAGATTCTCCTGCAGAGGGCAGCATTGTGCATAAGTTTAACTGCTGAATTAACTACTTAACATCTCGATAAGTTACAGAGACCCCTGTGCCTGAGTCCATATCGCAGACTAAGCATAAGATTAGTTAGCTGGTAAAGAGAGGGGTGTGAAGCCACCCAAAATGAAAAAGCATTGGCATCCAATGCACCGAGATCTCTGTTTTCCAGTCTTCAGTAAGACCTTGAATAATCCTGCGTGGTACAAAAAGCAGACAGCTCTATATGCGACAAGAGAAATGACATAAAATGTCTTTATTTTGCATAGCATTTGTGCCTCAGCAGCCATATGCAGTAGTCATAAAAACCTGACGATTTAGATATTTGAAGAACATACAAATCTGATGTACAGTAAACAGAAATGTAGATATGTCAACAGTGCTGTGGCCAAAAGTTGGAGAAGGCCTGGGATGACCTGAAGTTTGTATCACATTCCCTTAATAATGAAATGATGAATGTTGCTGGTTTGGAGAATCAGTCATCTATACGGATGTGGCCGTGGTCATCTTTGTTTAAGCTGTGTAGGTTCCACAGCTGCTCGGTGGGCGAAATTCCCGATTGACAGCAGACCTTGCCATGGGTAGCCAGGTTTTTCTGTGTACTGAAGGTTCGGGAGCAAGCGGGACACGTGTACACGCGCTCACTGGAATGCACGGAAGACAGGTGGCGGTTCAGGTCCGTGCGGTCGCGGAAATGCTTGAGGCAGTACATGCACTGCATCAGCTTCCGTTTAAGGTGTATGGTCTTCTCATGGCGGTCAGCGTTGGACTTGAGGGTGAAGCTGGCGGGACACTGCGAGCAATGATAGCGCGCTGACGGAGGGTTGAGCAGAGATGGGGCCACTAAGGGGCGATGGTGGTCGAGGCAGTCCAGCGAGAGGGCCATGAGCGAGAGCGTGTGGCTGTATTCGTGCTGTCTCAGTTGAAGCAGGCTGCTAAACAGTTGCTTACACAGAGAGCAGGCAAGCTCCTGCCGCCAGCCCGGCCCTCTGCCCTGCACCTCCGCCACACACACTCCATGCTTCTCCTCCACCATCTGATCTTCCTCTACAGGAACCTGGACACGCTCCAGCCCTGAGAGGGAGAGAGAGGTGAGAACTAATGGCAGGATATCGGCTTATGTATGTGAAAAATAACAGGCAGTCATGTGGCGTACCTGCATTGTTATTTGGACTATTGTCATCTTCTTGCATTTCCTCCTGTAAGAATATACACACATGCACATCAACACTTGTGTACTTCTGATCACAGGTCTGTATTGAGGTGTGTACTCCTGAGGCATGCAAGTTCATGAGGTAAAACACACAAACAGACACACTAGAAACAGAAGAAATAGACGGGACCCTTGAAGAAAGAAGAAAAGCAAAGAAACAGTTGGCTGCGAAACAGTTGAAGCAACAAAACCAGAGATAGCATGCAAGTATTAGTATTTTTGACAATTACTAGTAAAATATAATCATTATATATATATATATATTAACTCTTTACCAGTATGGTAAGAAAAATTTATTTAATTCAAGATATATTCCCTTTAAAAAATGCTGCCAAGTCAATGTATCTTATTTTAGTGACATTTAGATATTTGCGTAAAGTTTATTGGTTTGTCTATTATTTTTATTCATTCAAATTGGGTTTCTCAACAGCATATCCAACAGGTGGAGACAAAGAGAAAGCTCTTGGGACACAAGAGGATATTAAGTATTGTCCATGAAGTGAGGTGTGTATTTGTTTGGGAGGTGGAGGGTTACAGATCCGATTGTGTTTTTTTCACCCATGCTCTGAGATGCGTGAGGCTTGTACATGTATAGGTGCGGCCCATCCCCCTTGTTCTCGTTCCGCCCTCTCTTGCGTAAGAGTGACACATAATGGTTTAAGCAAACAGATGGCTTGTCCACAGAGATGGTAGAACTTCTTGGGGGGGGAGGTCCTGCGAAACCAAATGCCACCTCAGCACACACGGGGAGAATGCAATTTCCTGCTCTCACTCAAGAAAACAAAAACCCACTCTGCCCTTCTGCATTGTCCATTACTATTGATTTCTACCGCCACCTGGATCCCCTTCTTATCAGAAGATCCTTAGCTGCGGAAATCGTCATTATATTCATCAGAATGACAAATGCACAGGGCACACAGAAGACGATAGACATCCTGAACTTTTTATTATTACACTTATTTAGGGGGATCCTAATCTACACAATTCTGTGGAATATGGTTAAATTTGTTAAACAACCACCACAGATATTAAGTGTGATGTGTTGCCCGAAATTTGGAATAGCTGATGGATTTGATTGGTTCTGGTCAGGTGTAAACTTTGTGACTATCAGGTGGTCCAAATATGTGAAAATCTTTGAAATATGTGGAAATCCCTTCACTCTGGCCTTTATTTTTATCACAGAAAGGAAGAAAAAGCATTAATTAACAGAACGGAAGTACATGCAGGAACAGAGCAGGCAATGCAAAAAAAGCAACAAATATTCTACAGCAATCCGACAGATTCTTAAAAAGGAGCTATATATCAAGAGACACAAAGCTGAAGGATAAGTGGCCTATTGGGTGTTTGTTGGACTTACCTCAGTGGGTGAGGCCTTCAGGGCCCCTTCCGCATAGAGCTTGTCTGGGGGGCCCCCAGACTGTGGCATACCGAGGGCCCCTGGGGGCCGTGGCACGGATGGTGGAGGCGGCAGTAGAAGAGGAAGAGGAGGAAGAGTAGACGGAGGAGAAGATGAAGACACCCCATGTTTGCTACCAAACAGGGCCCCTGGATGGTGGGAGCAGCTGATGCCATTGGAGCAACGAGGCCCTGAGGAGCACAGGAAATGAGTCTCACCCACCTACTCTCAGACCAGCGGCCATCTTCCACACAGCAGCAGAGAGAGAGGAGGAGGGGAAGGGGGCAAGGGGCACACAGCTAGAGAGGGAGAGGAGGGAAGAGATGAAGAGACCGGAGTGGGGTTAGGACTTGGCCTCTCGCTGTTTTTTGGTCCTCTCCATCCACCCACGTACACGCAAGGGATAGCCGTATGTATGTATATGTGTGTGTGTGTGTGTGAGTGAGAGATAAAGAAATAGGAAAGAAGAGGCTTTTAAATGATGGCGGACGTTTTCTTTATTTAAAAAAAAAAACATGTCAGGCTACTTGCCAGAATCTATGCAAAAGTTCAAACAGGATATACACAAAATAGACTGTAACACATGCTACATGACAGAAACCAAGAGTAGCAGAGGCAAAAATTCAGAGAAAGGTGAAATATTTACACCAATTTAAATTTATTTTTGATACACAATAATCTGGAATGTCAATTTAATGTGTTAATTCAGTGCAATTATTTAAAAAAAAAATTATAATCATGCCCTATGACCTCTATGCAATTCTGCAGTAAGGAAGTTTCATAGAATGTTGCACCTCAAGATGCATTATTAAAGCTTTTCAAACTACTTAACTTGACACAGTGTTCTAAGAAATGGTGCTCATGCCGCAAGACATGATGCAATGGTTGCAGTCTGCATTAAGGTACGGTTACATTGGTAACATTTCGCTGGAAAAAAAAACTGGCAATAGTGTACCCATGTATGAATCATAAGTCAGAGAGTAGTCACTTTGAAACCAAGCAACTTTCTGAGGGTCAACTCAGCAAACTGACATGACCAACTGAACCTAATTTGAATTTTTTTGGGAAATCTTTCACCCTCACCCAAATTCCTGAAAGGATGACTGGATTTCACCTGAGAAAATTCAGTAAATGTGACCACACCTTTAGACTTCTAAACTCACTTTTTGTTACTTCTATTCAATGATTCACTTGTCTGCCACAATAACTTGTTTTACATTCAAAGTTTGCAATTTAATAACAAGCATGTCATTTTTCAGATGTGTGCTAGACGTCTACAATATACAAGGACATCTGAATAGACAGTATATGTGAAACTGAGCTACTTTTAAGCCACTGTGTTTCTGAATGTTCATCTTGTCTTTTTTTAGACAAGAATGTTTGTGAACTCCTGTTGTTGGGAATATGCTGTAGTTGCTGGTTAAGCGCTAAGTGGACAGATGCACATGCTACAGTAATGCACAACCACTAACAGATTCCTGGAATTCTCTTCTCCTACACTGTCCACTCCCATCTAGCACAGATCACCCTCTCATTTCTCCTTCCTTTTGTCTGCAATGTGTAAATGTAGCCGTGCTGCAAACTCCTCTGCATCAATTAACAGTAACTGAAACAGAATGTATGGTTCACATAAAGCCATCAGTCTACTGTCATTCTCTCATTTATAAAATTCCCAACTAAAGTGCACTTAGGTATTTTGATGGCGGATGCAAATCTTTCTAGGAAATTCTTCAGGGGGTAAGTGAATACAATGTGGTGCAGGTTTGATAGGATCTGGGATGGGCATTTGACCTAATGACCACCAACCGTGGTCCATTACAATAGAAATTTAAAGACTGATCACAGGTCAGGGTTTGAGATCAAGCCTGTAAAGCTTCGTCTCAGACTTTGGTTTAAAGATGAACTAAATTTTACATCTCTCCTATTAATTATCTAAATAAAGTAACATGTCCTACGGTTGGTTTCCCAATCTAATGGAATCTACAGGGAAAAAATGCTCTTCTGAATGTAGAAACAATGAGAGGCTGGGAGGATAACAGGAAATCATGTTATGCTATTACAGCTCATGATACACCAGACTCAAGAGAAACTACCACATGGTATCTGGCCAACTGAGGTTAACCACCAGCTGCAATGTCATAGGGTGTATTTTCTAGGGGAAACGGTACACACCTTCATATGTTACGTTCCCATGATAATACCTGACTGCTAACAATATTTTTGTGTGGTTTGGAAGATACATTAGTCTTAGACCAATTTGTTATGTGAACTATGGCTGCTTTCAAAATCGCATTCTCTCTAAGTAGGTACTTCTTTTGAATAAGTAATAACTTTGCAACCGTTAAAAAAGTGTGTTCTATGTAGTATGAATGTGCGTCGTATGAATTTAATCTAGACATACTACATTCACCATGTTGTCATTTTCATGTGACCTACATGTGTTGGTTGTGTTGCTTCACTGCCATTCACAATCCTCTCCCATGGCCTCATGTGATGGTTAAAGGGATAGTTCACCCAAAAATGAAAATTGTCATTAATTACTCACCCTCATGTCGTTTCAAACCCGTAAGACCTTCATTCATCTTCGGAACACAAATTAAGATATTTTTGATGGAATCTGAAAGCTGTCTGACCCTGCATAGACAGCAACGCAACTGAAATGGTCCCAAGTCCAGAAACGTAGCAAAGAGATCTGTAAAATAATCCATGTGACATCAGTGGTTCATCCGCAATTATACGAAGCTACGAGAATACTGTTTGTGCGCAAAAGGGAAAATAAATGACTTTATTCAACAATTTTTCTCCTCCGCATCACCCTGTAGCGCCATATTGGAGAGTATCCACTGGACGTAAAACAACGTATGCTGTTCTGTGCAGCTATTCAGAATGTTGTTGAAATAGTAGGTTATCTAAGTACTTTTTGCTTACTATTTTATGAATACTGCGAAATCTGACAATATTCTTTTAATTTGTGTATGCATATTTGGATACAGCCTATGTTGTAGCATGGGCAGATAATAGGCAAAACTGTCTAGCTACAACCCACCCTGAAGTGTAATTATCCATGAATTATGCAAAAAGAAAAAAAAGGAAGCAGACAAATAGCTCGAACTGCAGGACAGCTTTACCTTCATTAGTGAAGCATTTACAACCAACTAGAAAGGCACATGATCAGGTCCAATTTAATGAAATTTCAGCCCAAAAATAACTAAAATTTCCGCTAGTTTCTGATGCACAATTATGAGCACATTCATTTGAATTCCACTTTAGAAAGAAATTGAATTAACTTGGTTCCAACTAATATCCAATTTGCACTCCAGCATGTCCCATATACTGTAATTTAAACTGAATTTTCTCAGGTTCATGTCAATACTTCAGAAATGTTTTACAATCAAGAGTGCTAATCTAAGCTTGGGCTGAGTTTGTGTTTATCCAATATCATTTTTTATTTAAATAATTGTAGTTCTCATTAAACATTTTATTTCTCAGTTTTCAAACGTTGCTTTAATTTACAATGTTTTTCTTTGTAAATGCTGCTCTCGCAACTCCCTTCTTTTTTAGCAGAGCAATAAATATAAAAAAAATATATATATAAAAATACAAAATAAAAGTTTGCAGTGTAAATGCAGCCAAAAGAGACCTGCAGCTTCCGGTGAAGTTACTAATAATCAATCTTCTTTTTAAATTAAATTGTAATAACATAAGCCCTCTGCAGTTTCACTTTGAAAGCATTCTTTATTTTTTTTATATGTAATAATAAAATGTTTGCTATCACTATTTGTATTTTTAAAGCTATTTACTTTGCTACATACTACTGCTTTTTTATTTTAAACAGTACTTCCACAGCACATTGTTAATGATGGACTCACATTCATTCATGCTGAATTGCCAATCACTATTTCTAAACATCTTGATAAAATCTGTACATCAACTGCAGATAAGAGAGAAATAAATACTGCTACAACAAGAAGTATTGCAAATATATTTGTAAATATATGTACTGCATGTCAAAAGTTATCAATACAATAACACAAATGGAAATATGGGAATTATGTAGTATTTTACTGATAATTTATAAAAATCATATATAAAATAAAAATCATATATATTTAAACATTATTAACATTTATATTTGTCTACAAAATTTATTTAGATAATTTTAGCATTTTTGACAACAAATTCAGACAATAAATTCAGGCAAGTATGTCCAAACTTTTAACTTCTAATTGAACTTGTAACATGTGAAGTTATATATCTACAAATATGACAGTAAGGTCAAATTCAGGGCTACAGATTCTAGTATTCGTACTGTAAATGTATATTCATAAACCTATTTTGTTCTCTATATATTTTATGCATCCCATCCCATGTGCAGTACTGTACATGCTCTGTATTGTATTGCATTATAGTATTGTAATATATTGTATATTGCATTGTGTTATAGTATTAACTGTGTTTCATTTAATATCCACACTGTATTGTATGTGGTTTGGAATGTGCATTGAGTGTTTTTTTCTTTTTTTTCTTTGGAACAACTCACTGATTCCTAGTAAGTGCAAATTTGTATATCCATACACATAAAACCTCTCTCATACACACACACATACACACTCCCCTGAGACTCTGGCAGTGGCGTTGAAGACGACAGGTTGTCAGCCTGCTGTCAGTGTGTATAGATCAGTAGAGAAGACAGACACACACCTAAAGCAAATCACACCACCAAACCTGACCCAGGATCAGCCAATAACACACTATCTGGGTTAATCACAGCAGCCTGCAGAACGCAAGGGGACCCGCCGTGACCCACTCGGCTCGATCAAATCAATTCCTTTCCCAGAGACTTCAACAAATCTACTTTGAAGTTTTGAAGAGGAGGGCGACTAGTGATCCGTCAGAGCGGCACGGTGCGGTTCAACGAGCGCTGTTTGTTTTAGAGGGGTGCAGAACCCCAAACTATCATCGGTGGATCGGTTACATATTAACAAGAGCCTTGTGTGTGTGTGTGCTGACTTTAATACACGTCTCTTCATGTAGAACATGTTTGAGATCTTCCATGATTATTGTTGAATTTTGAGATTTGATGAACAGAAAATCATTTTTAAAATTTCATCTTTCCAATAAAATCAACATGAAATAACAAATCTATTTACATTCTTAATATATTATGGGGATTCTTCACCCAAAAATGAAAATGTAGTTTCAAACCATTGCATTTTCTTCAATATGGATGTAAAGCACCATAAAATTGTGGATTTTAGTCAAAATCCTCAGAAGCTTTATGTTAGCTATGAATGACCAACTTTGGTTATGAACTCAAGAATCTGAACAGTCCAATTTTCAGATAATTTGTCACCAAGCCCTCTTCATTGACAAACCCTCCCCAACTATGTCACTTAAAGTCCACTTTTTATAATTCAATCAATTTTACTCTGAAATATCTCATTACAATGGGTAAAATGGGTTGCGAATGGTGTTTCATGCTGACTTTAAGCCAGAAGTAAAGATCACAGGAACATTCTGACAGTGCTGGTGGAAGGCAGGATTCGTACATTAGCGAGATGATCACCAGTCCAATTTTCAGATAATTTGTCACCAAGCCCTCTTCATTGACATGAAATATCTCATTACAATGGGTAAAATGGGTTGCGAATGGTGTTTCATGCTGACTTTAAGCCAGAAGTAAAGATCACAGGAACATTCTGACAGTGCTGGTGGAAGGCAGGATTCGTACATTAGCGAGATGATCAGATTAATGCTCCTCTACGTCGTCTTTTAGCTGGAGTTTAGGAGACAAAAGCTCCTGTGGTGCGAGTGACAGCCACTGTGTTTCATCCTCATGAGTGGCCATTAAGACTTAATGTAGTTCAGCAAACACACACTCTTGAGCCTGCCCTAAGGGTTTTAAGAGCAGGAGTGGTTCAGAGTTGTCCTCCCTCTGCTATTCAGAAGACTGAACTTAAACAGACAAAAGAGACAATTACCAACCCTGGACAGAGGGAGAGAGAGAGGAAAGAAAGGGAGAGGAGACATAAACTCACAGAGGAATAAGCCAAAAATAACATAGCACACTCACAGACCCACACACATTCAATACTTTGACAAAGTGATTGAGTGTGGGCAAAAATTGGGTTTGGCGATCCCAAAGCTTTTATGAAATTCAGTGCCATTCATAAAAGCTCTGGTGTTTTCGGAGGACGTATTCTACCACAAAAATGTTACTACTCACACACACTTCAACAAAAGGACTTGTTGAGGGCATAAATATGTATGGACACATCTAAATATGACAAACTACAGTCTAGAAACTTTAATTCTTTCTCAGCTAAGTACATTCAGATGTAAAATTCAACACTGCCTTCTGTCTGCAGCCATTCAACACACTATTTTACATTTATCTAGAGTCGTTATGAGCAAACTGCAATACAACCTAACTGTACACGGCTGCAGACTTCACATAATTTTTTTTGTCATGGTCCCATTATAAAAAAATATCAACATATACACACACACATCTGGAATTTCATGTGTATGTGTGTGTGTATTATCAATGTTCTAAATATGCAGTTTTCATCATGCAATTTTGTAAATATTCAAGTATAGCCTTCCTTTGTGTGTTCCCAGTGTTGAACAGCACATAATCTCATTAAATAAAATAAGTAATTTTGTTAATACATTTGTTAATATTAAATATAAAATTGCCTTGCGTTGTAATGTCTTAAAGGGCACCTATTAAGCCCCTTTTACAAGATGTAGGATAAGTCTCAAGTGTCCCCAGAATGTGTCTGTGAAGTTTCAGCTCAAAATACCCCACAGATCATTTATTATACCATTTTGAAAATATCCATTTGGAGTGGAAGCAAAAACATGTCGTTTTCATGCATGCATCTTTAAATGCTCCCTGCCGCCTTTTCCAGAAGAGGGTTGTGCCTTTATAGCTTTTACCTCGGATACTCTGCCAAAACAAAACATCTGTCTGGTTTTGATTATCATGTCTATCGTGCCGAAAACTTAGCATGCGTTTTGAAGCCATTTCAGTTTAAACTTCTGATATAGGGTTTTCTAAGGGCACACATCTGAAGCACGCGCACAGAAAGTGACTGTCACACGGCATGTGAGCACTAAACTAAGTTCTCTTTCATGTCTTATTGAGCTTAAACGGTCAAATACACAGATCATTTACATAAACACAGTAGGTTATATCTGTAAACGTAAACAGCTGGGAAAGAAATTGCATGTTTATATTAGATTAGTGTATTAAGTGACAGCAGCATAATATACAGTAGCTACTGCTGTCTATGCTGTTAATATGACCCAAACAATAAATAAAAACAGAAAATCACTCACTGCTCTTGGCTGAATAATTTCTGTAGCTTTAATAAGAAGACATTTCTTACTTAAATGCTAGGGGTGCTCCGATCAGGATTTTTGAGGCTGATCGCCGATCACAGAAAGCAGTATCTGCCGATACTGATCTTTTTAAAACCTTATTTTTATAATTTATACCTATTTATAGTGATACCCCAATCAGGATTAAATGATTCAGGGCCTGAATTTCATTTTTTTAAATGGGGGGAATTCTCCTCTTAGGTGACTCTTGTGAGAGGGGAAGCAGCACGGACTGTGCTTTCACACAGGAGTCCGTTACTGATCCGTGGCTGTTTACCACAAACACAACATTTATCCATTATTTTGATTTCAAATCCAAACATTGTCACTGAAAATGCTTTTTCAGCATTGCAATTCTTTTTTTACACAGTACAGTAATACAGTCTTTCACAGACATGTTTAAACACAATAAATAGAAGCAACACATTATTCAATGCGTTTTACTTTTGCATTTACTTTAGATTTATATATTAAGTTGCTCAAGCAAGTGGCAAAACATTTAAACTACTTTTCTTACGTTATCACAAACTTACCATTGACAGAAATAGACAGCTCTGCTGCCTTTTCTTTTGCATTTAAATCTTTATTAAATGCAATCCTGCGGTTCATAAAGAACTTTGTTTTCCTACCTGCCATCTATTATTGCCTTGTTTATCTAAAAGTGCTCTTTCCCTTTAAACCTAGCCAAAAAGCCATATGTGTTGACTGTGAAACACAGTAGACTTTAATAATATGCATTTATGGTGTAATTACTACATTTTTGTGTCAATCCATGTTCATATTTACTGCAAACAATGCACGGTTACTTTAATTCTTCGCTTGCAGCGCAGCAATAGACTCGGTGCAGACACGATCTCTGCACTGCTGCAGACGCACCGCTACTGGAACGCACTGCTGGGTGCAGTGTGAACGCTTTAATTCATTAACATGAGCGCGGAAAAAATATGCACCACGTATGCACTGCAAACGGAGTAATGTGAACCTGGCGTTATGTGTGTGTTGCGAGTGTGACTGGTTAAACACTGGTAAGAATTTAAAAGTAATGCAATTTATAAACTTTAGTGACGATGTGACACTGCCTTGATTGTGCAAGTGACAATTCCTGTGTAAACTGTGCAGCGTGCAGCTGGCTTATAGACAGACGCGAGTACCTCACCTTCAGCATTATAATTATTTCACCCACGCCGGACAGAGACTGTGCCAGTCATGCCAAACCTCTCACGACAGCGTCATCAGCTTGAGATCAGTTTTTTGAGATCGGCCTTTTAGAGACCGCCGATCAAACATCCCAACGGGATTATCGGCCGATAGTGATCGGTAGCCGATCAATCAGAGCACCCTTATTAAAATCGCGATTCTCTCTCCAACGATTCTGGATCGATTCTGAGAATTTCAGAATCGATTCTGAGCTTAGTTTTTAACCAGATGCGCGGTGACGCTGAGTTTTCTTTACAAGGACATTTGCGGGCTTCATTGCACCGGATGTGCTGAGAGACGCGCGCTATGTTTGATGTTACATTTGAAGTGTGCGGTCTCGCCTGTCTGTATTTTCCTGCTCTACAAAGTCATCATTTATGTGGTTTTGAATGCAGTGGACTTATATATTTAAAAAATGAACCTCACTAACAGAAGGCTGCTTTCAATTTCAAATGCTGACGCGCGCTTTGTTTTTGAAGACTGCCTGGCGCATGCGGCTGTGCACGACTCTGTGTAAGTGGTTTAATGCACTTGCGTCTCAAAATGGTTTTATGATGCAAAATTAATGTAAACACAGCCAGTTATGTCTTAAGGGATTAAACGGACAGGACAAACCACATTACTTCTTATATTTCAAAAGAGATCCGTGCGTGAATGCAGCTTAATAGATCTCCTGCTTTCTATGATGTCATAGTAAAAAACAACAGTAAAGATGAAGAAAAATCACTCACAGTTCTTGAATGGAAAACGTTCAGATAATCTTAAATACTGAAAGCACTCTTTGTTTGTTGTTTGTACAAATATATACATTTGAACCTAAAATCCTAATGCAGAGCCTAATACTCAAACACAGTCATCCACACCAACGTAGTCTCTAAGACACAGGATTCCATCAGAGCCTATAGACGACACAAGTCAGCAGGAGGCTATGTTACTCATAAAGACTTATATCGTCAATCTACAGGGGCACAGAGGTTTACAAAGACAAACAGAAACCTATAGGTGAGGTTTTAAGCATTCAGTGGTAGCAAAAGAGCACAAATGAGTCCCAAAGCTTAAGAGTCCCTGTACAGGAAACTCCAAGGTTTGTGGACACATAACATGTTAAAGTGACAGCAGTCTTTACCATTCTAGCAGAACTACATACAAGTTCCTATAGATCCTCTCAAAACATCAGTTTATGGAGGAGACCTACAAAAACTCAATAGCACATGCAAATAAGTACCTATAAGTCCCTACAGAACCCTATGGTTTATAAAGACCTGCCAAAACTTATAGGAGAATCAGTTGCACCCAATGATAGCATGTAACACACAGCATATATCGTTCAAGCAGGAGCACATCTACATCCCAGTGGGATTCTATAAGAACCTAAGACTCTCTATTGGACTCTGTGGAAACTCCATGAGCGAGAGCAGGGGACACAGTGTGACTTACGGGAGAGAGAGTGTCCTCCCTTGGGCAGGTAGTCGAACAGAAGTGGGTGCTCCTCTCCGAGCATCTCTGCCCCCAGAGACAACAAGCTGTTCTTGCTCATGAGGGCGGCTCGCAGGTTAGCCACCGAACCCGCTCTCTCCTGGGCCACGGCCTCATCCCGGTCCAGAAACCCACCGTCCCCCGCCGCAGCCTCCTCCTGCTTTACAAGGAGGTCCATGCGCTCGCCGCGGCTGTCGGAAATGTTGGGTTCTGTCACTTCTTCACCTGAGAGGAAAGAGAGGAATGTTAATGAATTCTCAAAGACACAAATACACACACACCCACAATTAGAAGATGGGAATTTGTCCACTAACTCGCGAGAACAGGTTAAGGCCCAGACCAGAGCCTCTGCACGTGCGTTTTATGTCTAAAAATGTGTACATACTTCTTTTATGGCTAAAACGTTAAGCTTGAGGGCTGTGTAAAAATAACAATAGTTTCCAATTAATTGGGCCCTTTTTATGAACAATCCTGTAATTCTTTGTAAAATCGCAAGATTGATCTTGTGACTTGACTAAATGAATCTTTGAATAGCTGAAAGAGATGAAATAGCATTTTTGAATAAGTCTGAATCACTGCCCTGTATAATTTATATTTCCAGGCAAACAAAATACTGCATGTTCTTTATGCAAGCAAAAATAAACATTAAATTCAGCATGACATATAAATTCATATATATTTATTCTAAATGCATGTTATTTATCTTTTTGTGAAGGAATTATCAATTTATTTTCTCAAAACATCGTAACTCTTCTGTTGAAAGACTCCGACTTCTTTCTGGTGTTATATGCCAGACTTCTCCAATCATTTCATCCACATAAAACCAGCATCTTTCTTACAATTGGCTGCAGCCTCACATTCAAGAACCGATGCATAGAACTTAATTCAGCCCACTTTTTTTTCATTTCGATAATCTGATTGATTTGTATCACTACATGGAAGAAACTACCTGTCCCTCTCCTAATACATTGTGACTTTATACTTGAAATATCCCCAAATGAATCAGAATCATATTGAATCAAAATAGGAATCAAATCACATTGAGTTTGCAAAACGGAACTAAACTGAATTCCGGTCTCCATAAAAAACACAACTGATAAATAAACCATCAAACAAAGAAAAATATCTGATCCTTGCTGTTCAAACTTTTTAAAAGCAAAGTGAATCTTTACCTTCCTATTCATTACTTCTGTCAAATCAGGCAACATAGAGGAGGCTGCCAAAACACACACACAAGTACACACTTGTTCTGTCAAAGACAAGGACAACTGCTTGGATGCAAGAAGTCCAAACTATAAGAACAACAGTAAAAAATGTTACCAGGAGAGAGCCAGAGATGCTTGTTTAGACTAAACTGACAGCCTAAAGGAGAAGAGCTTTTCAAAACAGCTGTCAGTGAAGTTCAGATCACTGGAAGCCTCAAAGCTGCATGAACGAAACTGAAACGGCTTCAGTCATGGCACCACAAGACCCGCCCACAACCTACCATACTTTACACCACTTAATTACACCTTACATTAAGACAAAATACACATTTACACTCTCTCATGCACACACACACATACACAGCTAGGCTCTGAAGCGTGTATTGTGTTTACACAGTATTCTCTGGGGTCTGGATGAACAGACAGAGAAGTGGAGACAGTGTGAGGGGGTGAAACATAATGAGTGTTATAAGCCCCTCCCTCAACACACACACACACACACACACACGCTGTAACTTCAACTGAGGGCCTCCCAATGACAAGCATGGCAACTTCATCAACTTTGAGTTTTAGAGGAGGATTCGGCTCATTTCCAGAGAGAGACTGTCTGTCTGTGTGTGTGTGTGTGTGAGAGAGAGAGAGAGAGAGAGAGACGCTCATGAAGCACCGACCCCATAAAGATCTTCTCTTCTCTTCTGGTGTCCACAGCCTGGAGTTCACAAGAAGGTCACGCATGAAGAACCAAGTCTCCATCATTCAAACCTACTCTGGTTACTGTACCATTTGCATTAACAAGCAAAGCTGGTTTTAATACTTTATTGTTGGAAAAATAAGTGCTGTTTAAGCAGATACTGTATTTTCCAATATTTACCTTAGCAGTCTTGTCAAGCTAGACCTTTGTTAGCATAAAGGTTAATGATAAATTAAATGTGTTTAACGGAGTGGTCAAAAGAGTGTTCAAGATAAAAAGAAAGAATAAAAGGGAAAAATGAAAAATATATATTTGAAATAAAACTGTGCTGAGTTCTTAGAAATGTACTGTATTTGTGTTGTTATACCAATTTCAACAATAGTCTTGATTCAACTGAAAAAAAAACTGTCATGTGTAACCATCAAGTAAACAGAAATAACATTTTCCTCACACCTTGAATATATGCGAGTAGGAAAATAATATATTTTTTAACTAATGAATTTATAAATATATAAAGTTTGTGATGGCGTTTGAACCATTATGACATTTACATCCTAAACTTACCTTGTCGTGTTATAAAAAGGTAAAAAAGGTCTTGTGGGTCGCCAGGAGACCTCTCTGTATCTTTTTTTTCCTTCAAATTTTAATAAGCAGTGAAGCAGTTTCTTAAAATATTTTAAGAAATAATAATAAATTGCAAATGACTTAAGGTTTTCTTTTCAAGAATCTGATTCCTTTAATGAGTTTTCACTATTATAATATCAATTAAATCACTCTGACATTTTCAACTATAAATAATTTTTACATAAAAATTTTTAATGAAATGCACCTTAATTACAAAAAGGTATTTTAAGTTACTATATATGTAAATATTTTTAAATGAGCATCATGTCTTTGACCCATAAAGTCATATGGCCCGATCCACTTTAGAGTTTATTCTGGTCAAGAACCACCCATTTAGACAGGAACTGGTCTAGTCTGACAAACATGTAAGGCAACCAACCACAATTTGCTTTGTTTTAAATGCTATTTAGGGGCACGTTTATCTAACATATCATAGTTACCATTCCAAGTTCACAGAAAAAAAAGAAAAACATATTGGAAGGGAAAAGAGTCTTGAAATAATTGCACAACAGTCCACGACTGACTTTATGGAATATCTATTTAATTTTCCTGTTAAAAACTGAATATTTACCTGGCAAACTTTGTTACTTGCAAACATGACTTTGTCTCCCAGTGGACTGGTGCACTCTGACTTACAGAAGTTACAAAGCAGCCAGCCAATCAGATTAGACCTGGCGATGTGGCAGTCATTGAGCCGTTATGAGCCCACTGTGATACACATCTAAATGTCCAAACACACACTCTACACTAATGTGTGAGGAAACCGAAACAGCCTACAGACAACGCAGGGGTCTGTGTACGAGTTTTCAAGATGATACCATCTCATATACAGGCATCAACAGGCAATTCGGGCACAGAAGGCTTACAAACACATATAGAAACCTATAGGTGAGTCTTGCTGTTCCAGCAGGAGCACATACAGCATGAGCAGTGCCAGCTCTGATTCATCTGGTACCATTAGCCAAAGCTTCATAAACATGCATAAAAGAAATAAACATTAAAAGTACCAGCTTAGCATGTGTAAAATATGTAAAGTCCACAAACAAGTACAAAGAGGTATTTCAAATAAATAAATAAGAATACAAGGCATCTCCAAAGCAGTGGGTTTCGAAAGGCCAGGGGAACTCCAGGGTGGCACAGAGGATCAGTGAAACCCCCTCAAATTCAATTTGAAATGAATTTCAAATATATATCTTCAACTTTAAACATTTGACACATTTAAAAAATAAAGTAATGTGGGCTTCAAATGGTAATACAGTATTAGATACACTATAACATTCAGTTTGGGTTTGGTAAGATTTTTTAATGTTTTAAATAAAAATCTCATGCTCACCAAGGCTGCGTTTATTTCATTAAAAATCCAATAAATACAACAATATTTTGAAATATTCCTACAATTTAAAATAGCTGTTTTCTATTTTAATATTTTAAAATATAATTTATTTCTGTGATATCAAAGCTGAATTTTCAGCAGCCATTATTCCAGTCTTAAGTATTTTACTTGTTTCCCTATTGCTTTAATATTTTAGACAGAAAATGCCTTTATCTACAGCAGCCAAGGACAATTGCACATGCAAGTGTTGAACTTCATATAAGTGTAGCTGGTAAAAGATAGGGGGCTTTTGCACCTTTGATTTAAATTGTTGTAGATAAATATTCCACTTCATCCACAACTCTTTTTCTTCTCAGTATTCTGAAGTTGCCAGTTTTACTGCATGAGAAACTGCTTCAAGTGATTCAGTGCATGAGATCCAAATGATTCACACTGAAATCCCAACCGATTTTTACTAACCCGTTTGGCCAATTCATGGAAAAGAACCACCCCAAAAGAGTGACTCATTTAATCAGCCATCACTTATTCTGATTCTAAACAGAAAACAGAGAAACTTGTAGGTTTACGGACACTCACTGTATAAAGGCTGGCATACACTACACAACTTTTAAAAAACTGAACAGATTTTAAAACACTATAAGAATCATACACTTTCCGACTTTGTAAATGGTTAGAGAGAAAAACTAGACATCATACAACTGAACGACAGTTTCAAGTTGTTCCAAACACAACAATCTCACTTAAAAACGCTAGAAAACTATGACAAATGAAAACAATGTCTTCTAAATTCGGCTCAAAATATTAAACGTTTGATATCCTCAGAAGGTAAAAAATCTGTGCCCATGATACACTACGTGATTTTCTGTGAAATCTGTCAACTCCGGCTTTCAGCAGCTAGCATTGACTCTTTAAGACTGCAAATTGGGGCAAAGATCTTTGCAAAGAGCCTTAAGAGAGCATTCAGGTATTCATTGATGGCACTAGATATTCACCATATACTACACAGCATACCATACTATCAATGAATGGTGATATTTTAAATACTATTTCATTCAATGCACATCATGCGAGAAGCATTTCCTAATGTCTTGCCATTATTACGTCCCACTCGAGACGGTGCGTCGGGATACAGGAGCCATTGTTACGCCTTTGTTCCTGATAGCAGCTTAAGTGAAATCTCTTGTGGAATCTTTGTTCACGTGTGTAATCCGAAAGCTTTAATGGCCACTGATTGAAGTGTTGTGTCACACCACGTGAGATTACAGTGGGAATAATGGCGTGTATTGTCCCCCGTTCACCTCATAAGAGAACGGCTGAATCAGTTTGATTCTTTCTTGCAAAGGGAATCTCAGTTTAATGTGGTTGCCATGGC